AGAACCCATGGTTCACTGTCAGCTGGATGCTCCTTGAGGGTAGAGGTTATCTCCTTCCAGTTGGAGGATGGCTGCCCCAGGCCAGGGTAGCTTCCTCTGCCATCTGCAGCCTATGCCCAGCTTCTAACCTCTGCGGGTTAGAAGCACCCAACTCCTGTGGCTGCAGGAGTCCTGGCTGCACCCCCCAGTCTCCTTCCCTTTCCTCTTCCCTGCCTCCTCTCAGCATGTCGTCATCTGAAGCATCATCAATTCACTCACCTGCACAGACCCAGGGGCCAGGCTGCTTCATTGGGGTTAATAAGCTCGGGCTCTTTCCTTCCTCTTTCTCCCTCCTCCCAGCCAGTGCTCACTCCGGCCTCCCCCATCTCTCACCTCTAACCCCGAGACCCACTTTTTAATTGCTTCCTCCCTCCTCCCCCATCTGCTCTGCTCCTCACTCCCCTCCATCTCCCTGCCTGACTGCATCCCTCTGGGAGGGTGAAATGTGGGGACCAGATGTGTCCCCGGCTGGAGAGGGCTGGCGGGCAGTCTGTTATTTCCAATCCAGTGGTCCTCCAAATGGACAGGATGAACCAGGGATCAGTGGCGGGAGGGCTGTGGTGAGCCGAGGGGAGCCCTTGTGGTGAGCTGGAAAGCAGTTTACAGGGCCCGAGGGGTGACTCTGGTCCTTTCTACTCCCAAAACCTCCATCCCAAACCCTCCTGGGTCCCCCTCCACAAAAGAACCACGGAGGAAGGGAAGACAGCCATGAACTAGGATGGCCCTGGGAACCGGGATCCCTCCAAACTTAGCCAAGGGTCAGGACATTCCTGGGGGAACCTGGGGACAGACAAGCAGAAGTCTGGGAGGCAGGACTTCTGTGGGGGGCCAAGCAGATGGCTGCAGGTGGCCAGGCCTAGAGGAGAAAGCCCAGTACTCTCCCTTGGACAGGTCTCAACACTGATGCAGGGTTGGCTTACACTCAGGGACAGGAAGCAGTGCTGTTCTGAGGTCCTGCATGAAGGGACCATGTCTTGGTCTCTGTGTCTGAAGCTCCTGGCACTGAGCGGGGTTCTCTGAACTGGGTAGGAGTTTGTGCCCTAGAGTGGGGTCCAGACCTGAGCTGCGGGGCCTGAGGTGGGTGTGAAGGGCCTGGGAGGAGAGTATTTCCAAACTCCCAGAAGTGGAATCAGGGGCTCTGCCCAGATCACCGAGGTGGAAGAGGCAGGGAGAGGGACCTTAGCGCAGGCTGGGCCCGCAGTGGACCGGGGAGCCATCGATTGCCGTGTCTCGCGGATGACACTCTTTATGTAAGAACAATCCAATCTCAGACTCTAGTCCCTGCCCACGGAGGTCAGCTGGGAGCTGGCTGTCAGCTCACTGCTGCCCTCGGCACCTGCCAGCTCCCAGTAACCTGGGACCAGCCAGGCTGCCTTCTGGGGAGCGGGCACTCTCAGCCCGACCTCCTGTGATTGAGGGCAGGAGCCACACATGCTTAACTCCATCGGCAGAGTCTTTGTACATTTAATGGGTCACCTGAGAGCACATTTTGCACCGCGGAGCCACAAATGTTTGCTGAGCGAATGGCCATCTGCAGAACATCCTTGTCTAGAGTGACCTCTTCCACTTGCTTGAGCTGCCCCCAGCCCAAGTGAATTCTGCCTCGTACAGTGGACTCTCCTGACCCCGGTTGCCAGCCGCCTACCTTGCCCTGTGCCTGCTGCCTCTGCATTTGCAGGGGTGGTGGTGGTGATCAAATGAGATAATATATGTGAGGGGCCCCAGGAAAAGGGAAGTTATTCAATTTGAATCCAACCAGCACTCAGCAAGGCCTCCTAAGGTCACGGCACCGTGCCAGCCTGCTGGGGGCTACAGATGTGAAGCTGTGACGGCTTCTGTGGGAATCATGGAACACAGGGGGGAAAAACTCATTAAGACTAATTGGAGAGGAGAAACCCCAGGCGTGCAGGAAAAAATGGTGCCTGTTCACTTCTAAAGGGAAGCAGCTTGGTGCCATGCAAAGGACCAGACCTCAGTTTGAATCCTGACGTGCCACTTGGTGCCTAATTCTGGGCATGCTTTTTTTTTTTCCTTTTAAAAATATATCTTTATTGATTTCAGAGAGAAAGGAACAGGGAGAGACCTTTACAAACATCAATGATGAGAATCACTGATCAGCTGCCTCCTGCATGCCCTCTACTGGGGATCGAGCCCGCATCCTGGGCATAAGCCTTGACTGGGAATCTAACCATGACCTCCCGGTTCATAGGTTGACGCTCAACCACGGAGCGACAGTCAGGCTGGGCATGTTTTTTGAGTCTGTTTCATTAGGACTCACAGGATCTCAAAGTTGTGTGAAGACGCCTGCAGCTGGTAGGAACTCAGGGCTCGGCTTTGTGTCCTCTCCACTCCTCCAAAAAAGGAGTCAAAACCGAGCAGGGAGAAGCTCACCAGAGTGGAGGCTGCTCTCCCCAAACAGCGAGGACTCATTTGAAGTTAGCGGCATTATTTACACACCACTCACAATGTGCTAAATACCTTTAACATGCTTGTTTTCAGAAGCGAGTTAAACACGGACTCCTGTAATTTTGTTACACTATTCATTCATACAGACAACCATGTCTTCCCTGAGAGACAGAGGAAAACTTGTGTTGAACTGTCACAATCCAAGTGAGTAAAGAGGAAAGCCCCCATGAGGGTGGGGAGTGGGGCTTTGGGGAGCAAGTAGGAGGAAGGTTGCCCTGGGTTCCAGCCTGTTGGGACTTAGCCTGGAGCCCCACCTGAGACCTGGGGACCACGAAGATGCTCTCCCTGACTGTCCACAGGACTCCTAGCAGCCCACACCCACTGGAGGACAGGCCAGGCTCCAGGTGTACCTGTGTCCTCACCCACCCGGGAACAGACCGAGGCTGCAGGAGGAGGCAGAGGGAAACCTTTTCCACACTCAAAGTTTCTTGAGGTCTTACAGAGTGAAGGTGAGAAAGGGACGGTGTATCGCCATCCTACCTGAGTGTACAGAGAGAAACATACATCAAGGATAGAGATGGTTTATTAGTCATTGTAACAAAAATATATCTATATATACATGTATATACGCAGAAATAATGGATCAGAGGATATAAACACAAGTATTCACAACTTTTATAGGCGGTAGTATTAAGGCTGAATTTCCCTTTCTTCTTCTTTTAAACTTAAATTCTTTATTGTTAAAAGTATTACATGAGTCTCCTTTTTCCCCCATTGACCTCTCCCTGGCCGCTCCCAACCCCCCACCCTTTCTTCTTTTTTAAAATAATGGTGTTTTGTTGTTGTTAATCTTCACCCAAGGATTATGGGTGTTTTTTAAATTCATTTTTAAAATGAATTTAGAGAGAGAGTAAGGAAGAGTGAAACATCAATTGGCTGCCTCTTGTACACGCCCCAACTGGGATCAAACCCACAATCTAGGTATGTGCCCTAACGGGGAATCAAACCCGCCACCTTTTGGTGTATAGGTCAAAACTCCAACAAACTGAGCCATTGGGCCAGGGCTCCCTTTCTTCTTTACACTTCTTTTTACACTGAGTGTGTAGCCTGTTTACAATAAGGATAAAAAACCATGAAGCTGTCTTTACTTGGAAATGAAGGCACCACCGATCTTCTGCATCGTCACCAGGACTGTGGCTTTTGCTCCAGGCTGGGGGGATGGGGCTGAAGCTGTCCCTCCCTCAAAACCAGGAAGAGCCAAGCTGGGGCTGCGCACCAGGCCCCCTCCTCCTCGTCATCCCTCCTCCTCTGCCATCATTAGACAGAGCCCTGTGTTAGACTGGGGACGGGGAACAAAGACCTCCAGCCACCTGCCTGCGGGGAGGGTGTTATAAACTGGGGGGGAGGGAGGGCGGGGAGACGACGATGGTAGCACCTTTAAAATAGCAACACATTAACACTCACAAATGTATATATACATGCTGAGAAGTTGAATATAACAAGAGATTAATAAGAGCGTGAGTACACAGCCAGCTGGCCTGGAGGTCAAATCCCACCCAGTATTACATACAACCATCAAGGCTTAACTACAACAAGACTGCGCACAAAGACCACAAGGGGGTGCACCAAGAAAGCATAAAAAATGCGGAGACAAAGAAACATGACAGAAATGGAGGATATAGAGCTAAAAAACGCACTTTTAAGGAATGAGACCCTCGATGCTATGATAAAGAACCAACTAGAAATTAAGCATACACGGACTGAAATAAAGACTATTATACAGACACCCAATAGCAGACCAGAGGAGCGCAAGAATCAAGTCAAAGATTCGAAATGCGAAGAAGCGAGAAACACCCAACCGGAAAAGCAAAATGAAAAAAGAATCCGAAAATACGAAGATAGTGTAAGGAGCCTCTGGGACAACTTCAAGCGTACCAACATCAGAATTATAGGGGTACCAGAAGAAGAGAGAGGGCAAGATATTGAAAACCTATTTGAAGAAATAATGACAGAAAACTTCCCCTACCTGGTGAAAGAAATAGACTTCCAAGTCCAGGAAGCGCAGAGAACCCCAAACAAAAGGAATCCAAAGAGGACCACACCAAGACACATCATAATTAAAATGCCAAGAGCAAAAGACAAAGAGAGAATCTTAAAAGCAGCAAGAGAAAAAAAGTCAGTTACCTATAAGGGAGTACCCATACGACTGTCAGCTGATTTCTCAACAGAAACTTTGCAGGCCAGAAGGGAGTGGCAAGAAATATTCAAAGTGATGAATGCCAAGAACCTACAACCAAGATTACTTTATCCAGCAAAGCTATCATTCAGAATTGAAGGTCAGATAAAGAGCTTCACAGATAAGGAAAAGCTAAAGGAGTTCATCACCACCAAACCAGTATTATATGAAATGCTGAAAGGTATCCTTTAAGAAGAGGAAGAAGAAGAAAAAGGTAAAGATACAAATTATGAACAACAAATATGCATCTATCAACAAGTGAATCTAAGAATCAAGTGAATAAATAATCTGATGTACAGAAAGAAAAAAAAAATAAGAGCGTGAGTAGCAGAATGAATGACTAGGAGAGGAGGGTGAGTGAAGGAAGAGGGTGTTGGCGTTAATTGCTCCCAGGTCCTCGGGTCTCTGCCCACCTTGTCACTTCCTACTTCCTGTTTTCATCGGTCACGGTGGCCAAGACCATCCCTGTTCCCAGTGCTAGTCACCTGGGGCAGTGAGGGTCTCCGCTAGCCTCTTCAAGGTGCTGCTGGGGAGGCGGGCGATGCGGCTGCGGCGGGCGATGGAGGAACTGAGGGCAGGAAGGAAGGAGGGAAGCCAGGAAGGTCACAGCTGTGCCCTTGGACTACAGGTGGGGATGGGTGGGTGGACCTGGACCCCAAGCCTTGAGCACCAACAAGTACTTCCAAGGCCAGATCTGAGGGAGTGAGAGGGGTGGGGCGGGGAGCTTTGTGGGGTTTGGGAGGGAAGCAGAGGTGAGGGGCTGAAGAGTCCATTCCCTGGATTAACCAGTGAACACTAACGCCTCTCTCACGAAGAGGGGGCCTGTGGCCTTTAACCAAAGAAGGTAGCTACCCTTCGCCTCTAGTATAACCCTGTAACAGCAAGGCCAAGGGAACCTGTCAGATCCAGACGCTGGCCCTGCTCGCGGGACTCCCGCTACTGGCTCCAAGGTGTCCAGACACGTGGGGGCCTGCAGTTGGCCCGGGCACCCACCGCCCTGGTGAAAGCTTCTCCCCCCCAGCACCTCCCCAGCCTCACCTCACAAGGCGCCTCTTCTTGCGGGCTGAGGTCGCAGGGAAGGAAGAGGCTGGCTTGGGGCCCTTCGTGGTGAACAGGGGCACGGGTCCACTGAGGGAGGGGAAAGATGAAGGGAGGCAGGTCAGGAGGGAAACAGGAAAGGCTGCAGCGCCTCCTTCCTCCAGCCCCAGCTTGGGGGGTGGGGAAGGTGGACAACATGACCTCCGAGGCTTCTTCCTACTAAGGGTGAGTTCTTGTCCTCGCCTCTCTCGGCCTGGGCTGACAGCTGAGTGACAGGCCTGTTCTGGGAGAACATCCAGGTGTCAGTTTCTGGTGCGTCCAGGGAACCGGAGTTCAAACGATTTCACCCTTCCACCTGCCCGCTTGGAGCTTGTTACTGAGAGGTGGTTCGGGCTGCGGGAGAGGTGGGGGTGCGGTGGCAGCCTGCCGCCCTTGGCCTCATACATCCAGGGTGTCTGCCGCTTGTTCTTGCCCTTGGACTGTCCTGAGCTGGTTGCTCTCCCCCTACCCTGACATGTGGTGGAAGGTGCGGGTAAGAGCTTCATCTTCTCTGAAAAACGCTGAATAACGTTTTCTGAGTATACCCTTCTGGTTCCACATGCCAGGCTAGAGGGTAAAATCTGGGGGTGGCAGCGGCAGATAGAAGTATTTCTCAGGGGCACACAGAACTCCAATCGGGGCAAAGGACCCAAGTGATGCAGAGGAACAGAGAGGGCTGGACTGTCCTTGTGAATTCCTGCTCCCTGCTCACCCTCCCCAGGTGGGGGTCCCATTTGTAGCTACTCATGGGGTGCCACAAACCAGCACAGAGCTGGCAGCTTTGAAATAAACAGACAAGGCAGGGCCCTGAGAGTAGCAATGCCTCCCTGAAACTGTATGCTCTGCCCTGCTGGGCCCAGGGAGTGACCTGATCAGACCAAAGGGAAAGAGACAGCAAACGTCTAGGCTCCAAGAGCTGGGCTGTTTCACTCCTCCAGGCAGCACCACCGTCCCTCGCTGACCCCTGGCTCCCTGCTGGGAGGGCTGGGAGGACCAGGAGGGGAGACTCACCTGGGGATGAAGGGCTGATCCAGCCTGTTCTGGGGCACATTTTCCCAGCCAGCGCATTCATGGAAACCCAGCTTTGAGGGGGACTCCTCGGAGGGATCAAAGGTAATGTTGAGGTTCTGAGTGGGCAGGGCCACCGGGGTGGAGCAGTTCTGCAGGGCAGAAGGGCCCAGAGGCACTCGGCTTTTGATGACTGTGGCTGGGCAGAAGCGAGGGGAGTGGCAGGGGGAGGCGACCCTTCCCTTTTTGGGGGTGGTGGGTCCGAGTGAAGGCTGAGTCTCAGGCAGGGACCCCCTTCGCAGGCAGGGCAGGAAGGACTGGTGCTGGCGCTTGGTCCCCAGCCTTGGGGCCTGGTGACTGTCTTGCTCTGAGGGGCTCAGTTTCCTTCTTCTCTTCTTCTCCACGGACTGCAGAGCTGCCTGGGCAGAGGTGCTGTCAGGCCCAGGTGGGGCCTCCAGACCATGCATGAGGCCACTCAGTTGCCTTGCCATGGTCCGGGTCACAGGGCCAGAGTATCCTGGAGGCTCTGGGTATAGAGAAGGAGGGTGTTGAGAGATCAGACTGAGCAGAAGAAAGGAAAGTTCCTAGAATTTGGGGAGAGAGACATGGGAGATATGCAGGAGTCCCTAACTCCTCAGTTCTGTCAGGACTCCTGGGGCCTCTCTGCACAACCTATGATCCCAGAGGTCCTATCCCAGCACCTGAAGCCCCAGCTACCCCTCGGCACCAATAGGCAGAGGCAGAGCAGGGGCGAGACTCACTTGGCTCTGAACACAGCTCCTGAGCCAGAGGTGCCTCCCTGGCTGGGCCAGGAGTCCTGGAGGCCTCTGTTCCAGGCCCAGGTTTTTCCTCTCGCACCAGCTGCTGCAGGGTCTGGGTCTCTGCGATCATGTCAGGGGTCAGGAGGTTGGCTGCTTGGAGCAGGGCGTACTGCCGCTGGGCCAGGCACAGCACCTTCAGTGCCAACTGCTTAGAACGGTCCCTTTCCAGGTTCTGTGGTGAGAGGTGGCCCACAACTTGCTTGGCCTCCAGGGTCAGGCCAGGGGACTCCAGCCATGACTGTCGGAGGCTCTGTTCTGACACCCGGATCAGGACCTCCTTGGCCGGGTCTTTGTCTTTGTTCTCCGAGGGCTGCTCCTGGTCTGAAGAATTCCCTTCCCTGACCCTCTCCACCCGGACCTTTGCCCCCAGGCTTTCCTCTTGAAGGACTGCAGACCCTGGGTGGAGCTCTGGGGTGCGGGGCTGGCTGGGAAGATGAGATGGTGGGGAGGAGCTGGAAAGGCTAAGGGGGAAATGAGAGGTTTAGGGGCGGGAAGTAGGGGCAGGTGGGGAAAGCAGGGAGGGGGCAGGCGGTACAGAGCCCGGAAGGATGGATGCTTGGGTAACAAGTGAGCAGTAGCTGAGGGGGGGAGAAGGAGCCAGAAATTTTCTGGTTTAGGAAACAATGACACGAACCTCTTAGCTGTACCTTCTTTTGAATAGTAGATGTTGCCTATACAGGCTGGGGGTATCGTTTACTCATTTGACACAGAGCATTCTAGGTGCCAATCAGTGTGCTGGGCACTGGGTGGGAACCCCTAGCTCCAGGTGCCAGAACAGAAGCAAGGCGTCCTTGCCCTCCAGAAGCCGGAGAAGGGGGTCTTTCCCTGCCGAACTGAAGGATGAGGCAGGTATGGGCCACAGAACTTACGGTGGTTGTGGAGTGCCTGATTTGGGGGGCTGTGGGAGGTCCTGTTGTGGGGCCTGGGCTCCCGCCTCATACATTCGAAGCTTCTCCCTCAGACTGGCCACCTCAGCCTGGAGCTGCTGGCAGATAGTGGCGTACTGGCTGATGTGACAGTCCAGGCTGACCACATTGCTTTTCAGCGAAAGTTTGATCTCCTTGGCCCGGTCGGCGTACTTGAGGGTGTTGTACGTGTCCTCATACGTCAGGCTAGATGGGCTGATGGCAGCAATCATCACTGTGCGGCAGTTGCCTCCAATGGAGTCCTTGAGCAGGCGGGTCAGCTTGCTGTCCCGGTAGGGCACATGAGACTTTCGACTCTTTGCATCGGCCAGGGCATTGAGGACATTGATGAGGGCCAGCAGGGAGCGGTTGATGTTGGCACCTTCCCGCAGCCGCTCCCCCTTCGCGTGGGTAAAAAGGACACAGTGGAAACTCATTCCATATCCGCCTGAGCCACACATAGAAAGACTGGACTACTAAGGAAAGTGGGTGTTTGGGAGAAATGTACTGGATAGATGTCAGATGAGCAGGTCTGGCCCCATCCCTCTTGCTGTAGTTGTGTGGCCCCGGGCAAGCGCCGCAGTACCCCATCTGACAAATGGACACTTGGTCTATGTCAGGCGTTTTCCAATTAGATTGGAAGAAGCCCATCTGAGGACATTTTAAATGGAGCAACTCTGCCTTATCTGTTCTCCGTATTAGACTTCAGTGTAAGATTTCATTTGAAGGACTTGGCAGCAATAAAAATTCTGAAAACCACTGAACTGGAAAATCTAAGATTGACTCCGTACCCTGGTGGTCTCAGAGCCTCAAGTCTAAAGACAAAGAGAAATTATTTTCGACGATCTGATTGTGACGGTCTTTCCAAGTATGGATGCGATCAAGAATGTTCTGCAACCCCTAACACTTGGGGTCTTCTGTCAGATTTTATTAGCACTTCAGCACAAAGAAGCAGGGAGAATAATCAGGACTGTGATCCCCAAATCACAGCCACGACCGAAGCAACCTGTCAGAAGCCACAAGACCAGAAGCACGGCAGGAGTGAGAACCCTGGTGTCCGGGCTCCTCGCAATGGGGGTCACCAGGCAGAGAGACCCTGAGTGATAAGTGGGAGCCGGTGGCTGTTCCCTGGGCTCCAGGGGACATCGCGCCAGTGCGTCCCTGCCACTGCTGGGCCCCAGGGAGTCAGCAGCAGGAGACAGATAATAAGCTGCTGATTATTCAGGCTGCAGCATTTTTGCTGAGTTGGAAACAGACACTCCCCAACAAGAAATAAAATTAAACAGGCCCTTCTGTCTGAGAGCTTTAAATACATTGCCTAGCATGAAGCATGCTGGGGAGGGCGGAGTGGGGTTGGCAGCAGCAGAGCTAAGTGGCAGGGAATTTATGTTCTGGGGGGCCAAGGGAAAAAAATATTCGCAGCACCTCTCTATTAAGCACAGAAATAATGGTCCGAAATCTCTCTCTCTGGCTTTGGGTGGTGGTTTGTATTTACTTCTGAGAAGAAGCGGCTACAGCCAGTCTGTGGATGAGGAGACATGGTAAACACCTGACTCAGGAAGGCTGCCCCTCCCTCAGCCTGCCACCTGACTTCTCTTGGCAGCCCCCTCCCTGCTGAGCACAGGCAGGCAGCTTGGCCCTCAGACTGGAAAGCAAAGCACTAACCCAGGGGCCCTGCCCTAATGGGGTGCTTGCCAGCCATCCCGATGGAATTTGGTGTTTTGCTTCCCTTTTGTTGGGCTGCCAGCTATGTGGAGGTGTAAGCAGAGAGAGGATAAGTAAATACAGTAGATGATAATATCAAGTTGTTAAAAGCAGATAATGGCCAGCCGGCAGGCTTGGCTCAGTGGTTGAGCATCGACCTAGGAACCAGGAGGTCACGGTTCCATTCCCGGTCAAGGCACATGCCTGGGTTGCAGGCTCAATCCCCAGTGTGGGGCGTGCAGCAGGAGGCCAATCAATGATTCTCTCTCATCATCTCTCTCTCTCTCTCTCCCCCTTCCTCTCTGAAATCAATAAAAATTTATTAAATTTTTTAAAATGCAGATAATGGACAATGCTGAAAAAATTTGACTCTTAACTAGAGCAGAACCAGAGCTTTTGTGACTTAGCACCAACTCCCACCCCAGGAGGCTGGAGCCCATCTTCTCCCTCCTTGGACCCCAGAGAAGAGTAAGAGGATACCTACTGCTTATAACGGTCCCTTTCCAGGTTCTGTGGTGAGAGGTGGCCCACGACTTGCTTGGCCTCCAGGGTCAGGCCAGGGGACTCCAGCCGTGACCGTCGGAGGCTCTGTTCTGACACCCGGATTGGAACCTGAAGAGGAAGGAAGTCATGGGTAGAGGGCCCGTGATGACCGCCCTCCCTATGTACGCAGCTTCTAAAACCTTTCCCCCTCCAAGAGTGGGATGACGGCTCCTGGAATGTCCAGGTCCCTGTCTGGCTTTTCTTCCTCCCAGTCTCCATCCTCCCTGCCTGCTCTCCTGATGGTAGCACACCCTCCTCACTTCCAGACACACAGGATCCGACAGAACAGCTCTCCTCAGACAGGACCTGAAAGCCTCCAATGACTAAGATGTGACCTCCAGGTAGAGAACCTGGGCCTGAAGGGACTCCGTGAGTCGGAGAGGGATTTCCTCGAATATTCCACCAGCTCTAAGTCCTACCTCCTTGGCCAGGTCTTTGTCTTTGTCCTCCAAGGGCTGCTCCTGGTCTGAAGAATTCCCTTCCCTGACCCTCTCCACCTGGACCTCTGTCCCCAGGCTTTCCTCTTGAAGGACTGCAGACCCTGGGTGGAGCTCTGGGGTGCGGGGCTGGCTGGGAAGATGAGATGGTGGGGAGGAGCTGGAAAGGCTAAGGGGGAAATGAGAGGTTTAGGGGCGGGAAGTAGGGGCAGGTGGGGAAAGCAGGGAGGGGGCAGGCGGTACAGAGCCCGGAAGGATGGATGCTTGGGTAACAAGTGAGCAGTAGCTGAGGGGGGGAGAAGGAGCCAGAAATTTTCTGGTTTAGGAAACAATGACACGAACCTCTTAGCTGTACCTTCTTTTGAATAGTAGATGTTGCCTATACAGGCTGGGGGTATCGTTTACTCATTTGACACAGAGCATTCTAGGTGCCAATCAGTGTGCTGGGCACTGGGTGGGAACCCCTAGCTCCAGGTGCCAGAACAGAAGCAAGGCGTCCTTGCCCTCCAGAAGCCGGAGAAGGGGGTCTTTCCCTGCCGAACTGAAGGATGAGGCAGGTATGGGCCACAGAACTTACGGTGGTTGTGGAGTGCCCGATTTGGGGGGCTGTGGGAGGTCCTGTTGTGGGGCCTGGGCTCCTGCCTCATACATTCGAAGCTTCTCCCTCAGACTGGCCACCTGGAACCCAAACAGCCAGTTCCTCAGAATCCCAAGTGAGCAAAGGAGGTAGGGGCTGCCCCCTCCCCCTGGCATAGAGTCCTGGCCACACCCCGATGCTCCCGTCTCTCGTTCTCCTGCCCCCCACCCCACTGCGCCCTGCCTCCCAGCCATGCTCCCCAGGCGGGCTCCTCACCTCAGCCTGCAGCTGCTGGCAGATAGTGGCGTACTGGCTGATGTGACAGTCCAGGCTGACCACATTGCTTTTCAGCTGAGACAGGGACACAGGGAGAGATGTTTGTTCATTCAAAGTAGCTTTCAGCCACCACTGCAAAAGGCCAGGCATTGTGCCAGGCACCTCACTCATATTCCCGTGACTCACTCACAACTAGGGAAACAGACTTGGGAAAGTCAGCGGCTTGCCTGACACCACAGCAGGGGGCAGAGGTTGCCCTTGAACCCAAGACACCTGACCGCCTGACTAACGCACTCACCAGGCAGCCCCGGGAGAGCTAGAGCTCCTGGAGGCGGCAGGGGAAACCAGCGCCACTCTGCCCTTATCTGTGTTACGTGTTGGTGTTTATGTTGTTTTGCTGCTAAAAGCGAGTCTGAAAAAGATCACTGGCCAACACTCAGCCACGCCTTGCTGTTGCCTCCCTCTTGAGACGATTCTGCCTCCGTTGTCCAATGCCGTATTTTACTCTCTTTTCAAGTCTTGGAGACCGTCCTGCCTCTCCCCCACCTGAGGTCTTCCCAAGGGCAGGGACTGGGTCACTTCTACCACAGTTTCCCTGAAGATAGAGGCTCGGGAAGGACTTCCTTCTGCCTGTGGGTCCCTCCCCTTCCTCCTCCCAGCCTGGGGACTCCCCCAGGTCAGGCTGCACGCACCGAAAGTTTGATCTCCTTGGCCCGGTCGGCGTACTTGAGGGTGTTGTACGTGTCCTCATACGTCAGGCTAGAGGGGCTGATGGCAGCAATCATCACTGTGCGGCAGTTGCCCCCAATGGAGTCCTTGAGCAGGCGGGTCAGCTTGCTGTCCCGGTAGGGCACATGGGACTTGCGACCCTGGGGGCATCGAGTGGACCTGGCGTGAGGTGGCTGGACTAGGCAGACCCAGGCTGGGACCTGGCTGCCTCTGGCCCAGGGCTGAAGGGAGGAACCCTGGGCTTTGGGCATCAGGGGCTGTCCTGTGGGGAACCCTGGGTCCCTGCAGCCTTACCTTTGCATCGGCCAGGGCATTGAGGACATTGATGAGGGCCAGCAGGGAGCGGTTGATGTTGGCACCTTCCCGCAGCCGCTCCCCCTTCGCGTGGGTGCTGGACGCCCGCTCGGAGCCAGCCAGGTCAATCAGGCTCATCTTGGCCACCTGAAGGGCCTGGGTCAGACCTGGAACGCGGTCCTGCTGCTTCACGAAGATCTGGGGGCAGGGGGCAGGGGTGAGGGGGTGCTGGGCATCAGGAGCCCGTCTTCAGGCTCCGACCCATGACCCCTCTCACCTGGAAGATGGCATGGGAGCGGGAGGAAGTAGCATTGGCGTCAGTGGGGTGCTGCGTGCGGTTACGGTTCCCCCTGGTCAGCATCTCCAGCAGCTGCTCAGCTGAGGTTGGCTACAGAGGAGATGACCAGGAAGGGAGCTGTTGTTTCCCCGACCAGGACTTCCCCCAGTAGGAGGGCTGATCTTCAGAACCCAAGTCACCAGCACCGCATGGGATACAGGGCAGAGCCAACTGCCTGGTGAGGGGACTTCGCAGGACCAACGGGACTGCTCATGCCACCCGAGCCCAATGTCACACCTGGTGGAAGGAAAGTCCTTGTACCACCACCCCCTTGTCGGGATCCTCACGGATGGCAAGGGGTCCCTTGGGCTCCAGAAGGTCGTGGATCTGCTCATTGTACACCTGAGGAGAAAGGAAGCAAGGCAGAGACCTGAGGGACAGGGCCCCTCGGAAACCTGTCCCCTAGGGGCTGGGAGGGCTGAGCTTGTTGTTTTGCGGGATGGCGTTAAGTGACAGAGCAGGTTTAGTTCACACATAGTCTCTCTCTGAGCTGTTTCTGCCCTCTGGGCTCTCACTGGGGCCCCATCTGCCCACTTCCTACCACCCTCTCCCCCACTAGCCACTCCACTCCCTCTTGAGGTGGTTGTGAGAATGAGGGATGGGTCGCCCAGTCCCAGGGAGGGGACAGCCCTACCTCCTGGTAGCTGATGAGCACCTCGAATTGCTTCTCCTCCTGGCGGGCCTCCAGCCGCCTGTACAGTTCCATGGTGGTCAGGTACATGATGCCGGGGTCCCCCTCTCTTCCCAGCATGGTGTGTGTCTTCCCGGCCCCAGTGGCCCCATAGGCAAACACTGCAGGGGAGAGTGGGGAGTAGGGTGGTGACGGGGCCAGACTCACCTTCTCTATGGCTCCCCCTGTGCATTTCCACCCAGCTCACCCTTCCCTCCCCACCCCCTTCCTTTGCCCTCCATCTGCTTCCAATCACTCACATCCGCCATGCTGGCAATGCAGCTTGAGATCCCCACATCTATGTCCTGGCTTCCCTATAGGTCTGCCAATTCTAGGGCAAAGTGGTCTCCATGGTGGGTGCGGCATCTCCCTTCCGCAGGGATGCCCTCTCCTCTGCTGAAGGCCCAGGGCTCTTTCCCTTCCATCACTTACCTCAGTTTATAACCACACACTTGTGAGTGTGATTTTGATTTAGTGTCTTCTCTCCCCTCCCCCCGCGAGACTGTCAATATCAAGAGGACAGGAGCCATGTCTGTCTGATCTGCTACTGCATCCCAGGGCCCAGGAGAGTACCTCACACACAGGAGAAGGATGAATGGGGGACCCACAGAGAAAGCAAGGGCCAGAGCCCTCCTCAACAAGTGCCCAGCTGAGGGGGAGGGGACCCCTGTCAGAAGGCACATAAAACCCTGAGAGGGAAGCAGGGAGGCAAGGCAGCTACCAACCAGGACTCTCCCCGCTCCCTGCCCAGACTCTCACCGGAGCAGTTGTAGCCCTGGAGGAAGCTGTCCAGGATGCTGTGGGTGGTGTGCTGGAAGACATCCTGCTGGGTGGCCGCCTCGCCGAAGACCCGGTCAAAGACGAAGGTCAGGTCTTTGCCCTTCTTCTTGGGGCCGTCATGGACGCTGCCCCATTTCAGGCCAAGGAAGCCCCCATCGGGCTCTTCAGGGTCAAACACCAGCACCCGCTCATCCACCACCTGAATCACAGGCCTCCGCTGGCTCTCTAGCTCCCGTGGGGTGGGGGGTCGGACCCGAACCACAACCTGCACCGCGCTGTCCTCCACTGCCATCACCATGGCAACACCTGGGCAGAGACACAATGGATATGAGGACCAATCCGACCCCCGGCTCCAGAGGAGATGACCAGGAAGGGAGGCTTGCCCGCTCAGTCTGGCATTCAGGGCCTCCCTCCACCCCCACCCCAACAGCTGATCTGTTTTATACCTCAAGAGAGTAAGAATATTGGTGCCAGCACCAATTACTAATAAATATCTCTTTCCCACTTGAAATACCATGTTTGTCATATCCAAATGGCTATCTTTTTCCCAGAGGCCTATTGCTGGGCTTTCTGTAATGTTCCACTGGTCTGTCTGTTCTCGTGCTAACACCACACTGTTTCCATTCTGTTCTTTTACAGTATGCTTTTCATCTAATAAGGCAAGACCACCCTCCCCCTCCACTAGTCTTTCTTTTTCATGATTTTCCTGGCTATATTCAGACATTTATTGTTCTATTTGACTTTAAGAAAATTTTATTAATTCCACCCCCAACCCAGAACACATCCCATTCCTCGCCCCATAACAACAACAAAAAAACCTGATTGGAATTAAAACTGGAATGGTATTACATTTACATATTTATTTTATATTAAACCTTTCCATGCAAACACATGCTATTGCCTTTCTATTTGTTCAGATATTTTTTATGTCCCTCAATAAGATTTTATAGTTTTCTTTCTCTTCAGATAGCTCTATAATTGCCCTTTTAATGCAATTCCCGAGAACTTTATGGACTTAATCACTCTTATGAATGGAACAGCTTCCCCCATTTCTATTTCCAGGTGGTAATTGCTAGTATGGAGAAACACGTCTGATTTTTATACATTTGCCTTATAACTACCACCCTCAAACTCTCTTATTAATTCCAATTGTGTGTGTTTTTAAAAATAGGGTTTATTGGGGTTTTCAGAGTATGCAATTATATATCAGAAAAGAAAATAATTTTTTTACCTTTTTTCTCTCTATTTATACCAAATATTTTATTTCCTGTCTATTGCAATCCCTAGAACTTCCACAACAATGTTGAATAATAATGATGACAATGAGCATCTCTGTCTTGTTTTTTATTTTAAAGGAAATGGCTTTAGTGCTTCACTACTTAGAAATTATTTTTGGATATATAGTCATTATACTAGTAACTTTTTCCTTTTCTTATTTTACTTAGAGTGGTTATTAGAAAGGTCTAAAATTTTACCCAGTGCTTTCAGCATCTCCTAATATGTTTTTTCTCCTTTATTTTGTTGAAGTAGTAAATTATTTGATAGTATTCCTGGTATCAAACCAACCATGCATTCTTAGAAAAAACCCTACCCTGACCATGCTGAAGCTTTAAATTTTTAAATCGTCTAACGTGTCAAATTTTTTTTTATGATTTTGTCATATTTAAGAAGACATTCCTTCCCCAAGGTAATAACCACTTTTATTATATTTCTATCTAATACATTTTACTTTTTAAATTTAGGTATTTATAAAGTTGGATTTATTTTTTTGGGAATGGTGTGAGGTTTCTAGATTTCTTTTCAAATGGTAAGCAATCATCTCAAGATCATTTATTAAAAACTGTATTTTTTTAAATTTTAGAGCAAGAGGGGAAGGGGGAGGGGAGGGAGGGGGAGGGGGAGCGAGAGAGAGAGAGAGACATCAACCTGCCACTCCACTAATTTATACATTCATTGATTGATTCTTGTATGTGCCCTGACCAGAAATTGAACTCGCAACCTTGGTGTATCAGGACAATTCTCTAACCAACTGAGCTACCCTGCCAGGGCTAAATAGTGCATTCTTTCTCTACCAATTTCAAATGCCACGTTTAACATAACTAAATTCTCCTGTAAACGTGAATTTGTGGACTCTCCATCCTGTTCTGCTGATGTGTCTATTCCTTTCCCAATAACTCACTGTTGTAATTATTGTGGTTCTATAATATCTCACCTCATTGTTCTTTTTCTTGGCTATTCTTAAGCATCTTGTCTGCCATATAATTTTAGAATCAGCTTATAGAATTCTAGGAAAAATCCTGCTAAGACTTTAATTGGAGTACTTCGAATTTATAGGTTAATATGAAGAGAATTGGCATCTTCATAATATTAAGTCTTCCCATCTAGGAACATAGTATCTCTTTTCATTATTCACAACTTTATAATCCTCAGTAAAATTTTATCGTTTTCTTCATTTGAGTTTTGTGTATTTCTTGACAGGCTTATTACCAGTTATTGTATAGTCTTTATTATATTGTGAATAGGCTCCTTTAAAAATTGCATTTTCTAATTCATTTTGCCAGAATATAGGAAAGCAACCAATTTCTGTATGCAGATCCTGTATCTGGCCACGTTACTGAACTCCCTTATTAGTTCTAATAGACTGTCATTGATTCTCTTAGGTTTTTCAATTAAATGATGGTACAGTTTGCAAATAATGACAGTGATTTTCTATTTTTAGCTCTTCTATCTTTAGTTCCCCACCCTTCACTGTCCATTAGGAATGGGTGTTAAATTTTATCAGATGCTTTTTTGGCACTAGCTGAGATGATCACAGTGTTTCTCCTTTAATTTGTTAATGTAGAGGGTGACATGAACAGATTTCCTAATGTTGACCTGGCAATAATTCCTAACACTTATTTGCTTATTCCCTCGCGTATTCCCCTCAGACCTCTCTCCTTGTTTTTCTCATTTCTCCTTCAAGCCAGCCTACCAAGGGTAGAGATGGAATTTTTGGAATGCAGGAGTCCTGGAAAAGTTCAACCCAGCTCTAGGGAATGTTAACAGGAGTAAGAGGCTGTTCCTGGGGATATGAACAGATGAGTGCTTTTCCAGGTTCCGCTGACAGGACCAAGGTCATTCAGGAAAGAAAACTGGAATTTCTACCTAATACTAAAGCGGAGAACTCATGTTTGGTTTTTTTTGGTGTTTTTTGCGGGTGAGGGCGGTGGTGGGGTGGGGGGAGAATGAGGCAGAATTGAGCTGATTTGAAACTCCTGTCCCCACCTCCAAACTTCTTAATTTGTCCCTATACAAAACAAAGATATCAACCAATAAAAATCTATATGTATATTTTTTCATATACATATATGAAGGGAGAAGAAGATAGAAACATCAATGATGAGAATCATTGATGGCTGCCTCCTGCACACCCGCTACTGGGGATTGAGCCTGCAACCCCAGCATGTGCCCTGACCAGGAATTGGACCGTAACCTCCTGGGTTTATGGGTCAACGCTCAACCACTGATCCACACTGGCCTGGCCAATAATAATCTTTTTACATGTGCATAATTTTTTTTTCTTGTTCCAGCAATTGGACTGCAACTGCCTACCCACTAGATGAGGGACTGTTTAAGCACCTTATGAGTAGAATCTCCTTTCATCTCCATCACAATCCCACAAACAGATACTATTCTTAAACCCATTTTTCAATGAGCAAATTGAGACTGAGAGGGTTAAGCAACTTGCCCAGGATCCCAATGCTAGTGATGAAGCCTGGTTCCAACCCAGGCAGTCTTGACTGCAGAGTGTGCATACAGCCTTATAATGAAGGCTATTATATATTATGCTTTCATGATCACATTGTTGGAATAGTCCCTTATGTTTTTTAATAATTATAATCGCTTTTATGTAACTACCATAACGTATTATGCAAACACTTTCAGCTATATGGACTGTACCTAATTTTCAACACTCAGAGAGAATTCCTGTCTCCCACCCTCGCATTCCCCTCCCCACAATCACCCTTGGCCCAGGGAAGAGAAGGCAGAGGCTGCTTGGCCCCACAGCCTGGGTCTACACTGGCTGCCTTAATGGCAGTCCCAGCTCCCCACAGGGAGGGTTTCAGCTGAGGAGCAGCGACAGAGCAGCCTAACATTCTAAGCAGGAAATTAAAAAGGGCACTGGCAGCGGAGTGCGTGTAACCTTTACAGTTCTCTCCTCTCCGCTTCCTGAGGGCCAGCGAGGCAGACTGTTTGCCTAATGAGATGTTTTCCTCCTCTCTGAAACCGCGCTAGGGGCATGGGGTGGGGGTGGGGGGTGACACCTGGCACGGCTGCGGCTAGGACACCGGGGTCCTGGTCCTCTGCTGGGCATCGGACTGGTGGGAGGTCTGTCCACCAGCCACACCGCATCCGTGCTTCCCCCGTTTGAGAGCCAGAGAGAACAGCTACAGATCTGCTCCCGCCCCGGGGGGATGGGGAGATTAATGAGAGAACGTTTGTCAAGTTTGCTTTGATCCTCAGTTGGAAAGAGCATTTCAGCCCAAAGTACGAGGGAGATGATTCTTTAATAAGATCTTCAGGGTTCTGAGCCAGCCACAGTCACGTCCTGTTTCTAACCCAGGGCAGCTCATTAAAACCCAGAGGCTAGTTCACTGCCGAGCTGGGAATGGGAAGCCAAGATTCAGTTGTTTTCAGGATAGCTTCCTCTGCCCCCCTCAAAGGGACAGGCGGAACAAGACCAAACTCCTCAGAAGCCGCGAGAGAAGAATTTCTGAGGACTGGAGGGGATCCGCCTGCAGACATCGAGAGCTGGGAAGGCAGGCGTGCCTAGCCCTTGGATATTCTGTTTTTAAAGGGATTGCTCTAGTCCCCTTCATTGCTCCTTCACAACTCGCACACACTGTGTTTCTTGTCCTTACGCTCCAAAAGAGCAGAACCCTCTTCTGATACAATCTGTGCACCCTAGATGCCTAGGCACCGGATCCAGCATGCAGTGAAGGCTCTATCATACTTATCCTATGGGTGAATAAAGGCCAGAGAAGGGCACAATCTGAATCCAAAAGTCTGAAAGTAATTACTATGATAGCTAACATTTATTGAGTGCCTACTATGTATCCAGCCCTGTGCTAAATGCCTTACAAAGGGCGTCATTTAACTTGCACAACATTCTCATTCTGTAGTTAGATCCATAGGCTCAGTAAGGAATTTGTCACATGGATGATAAGTAGCAAGGTCAGAACTTGACCTTGTCCAGACTGTCAGCAGAGGCAATCAATACTCTTTGTACCAGACCATTCTGCCCTGTAGCTGTGCTTTTGTGGCTTCTGCCTCCCCTCACCCTAGTACCTACAGGGCAACATCCAAAGACCACTGGTTCTTTCTATGGTTGATTGCGAAGAGAAGAGCTGTGTTCTCTTGTGTGTGTGTGTGTGTGTGCGTGTGTTTAATAAGCAATCATAAGATGTAGCTGATGACAATTTTGCTTGTTCCTAATTTTATTTTTATTTATTTCTCTTGTCTTATAGTTATGGCTAGCTAGGATCTCTGGTACACTATTGAATAGAGGCAGCAAGAGTGAACAATCTTGCCTTTTTGCTGATTTTATAAGGAATGCTCCTATTATTTCACTTGGTGTTGGTTTAAGAAAATTCACCTCTATTTCTAGTTTACCAAATTACCAAAAAAAAAAAATCATGGATGGGTGTTGAATTTTATTGAATTCTATTTCTGTGCCTAATAGAATATGTTTTCTCCTTTAATCTATAGTTATGTAAATTGTATTGGTAGATTTTCTAATGTTAAACCATTCTCATATTCCTGGGATAAACCCAGTTTGGTCATAATGTATTTTTTAATACACATTGCTGATTTCTGATTGTTAATATTTAATATTTTTTTACAACTATATTTATAAAAGAGATTGGCTTATCATTTTTTTGGTCTTATTTTTAGTATCACAAAATAGACTGGAAATGTTTTCTTGGTTTTTATTTTTTGGGGGGGGTAGTTTATATAAGATTAGAATAATTTCTTCTAATTGCTTATAAATTTCTGGTTGAGTTTGGTAGGTTGCTTTTTTATTTGTTTGTTTTCTGTTAATTCTAACCCAAGGATACTTTTTTTCATTGATTTTTAGAGAGCGTGGGAGGGGGAGAAGGGGAGAGAGAAAGAAGAGAAACATAGATGTGAGAGAGACACATCATTTGGTTGCCTCCCACATAAACCCCGACTGGGGTAGGGAATTGAACCTACAACCCAGATACGTGCCCTTGACCGGAATCAAACCCAAGACCCTCCAGTGCATAGGCCAATGCTCTAACCACTGAGCAAACAGGCCAGGTGGTAGGGTTTGTTGTTGTTGATTTCAGAGAGGAAGGGAGAGGGAGAAAGAGATAGAAACATCAATTATTAGAGAGAGTCATCAGAAACATCAATTATTAGAGAGAGTCATCGATCAGCTGCCTCTCGCACACCCCATACTGGGGATCTAGCCCACAACCTGGGTATTTGCCCTGACCAGGAATCAAACTGTGATCTTTTTTTTTTTTTTTAATATATTTTATTGATTTTTTACAGAGAGGAAGGGAGAGGGATAGAGAGTTAGAAACATCGATGAGAGAGAAACATCGATCAGCTGCCTCCTGCACACCTCCCACTGGGGATGTGCCCGCAACCAAGGTACATGCCCTTGACCGGAATAGAACCTGGGACCCTTGAGTCCGCAGGCTGAGGCTCTAGCCACTGAGCCAAACCGGTTAGGGCAAACTGTGATCTTTTGGTTCGTAGGTCGACGCTCAACCACTGAACCATGTGGGCCTGGCTGTTGTCTTTGATGGATGTATCAGGACATTTTAAACTAATTTAATTTCCTCAATGGCCCTAAGTTTGTTCAACATTTTCAGAGCTGCTTAAATCAATTTTGGTAAATTGTGTTTTTTTTCCTAGAAAACTGTCCAAAAGCATTGTTAAAAAGGGTGTTCCATTAAAGTTGTTCTCTCTCTTTTAATTTCTCAGTAACTGAAGTTATGTCTCTATTTTCATGCTTAAGAACGTTTTTCTATGATTCTTTATTGCTAGAGGTTTGGCTTTTTTTATTAGTCTTTTTAAAGATGCAGATTTTGGCTAAGTTAAACCTCTCTATTATGTAATAAAATTCTACTTCATTATTTTCTGCTCTTAACTCCTTTTTATTTCCTACACATTTATTCTATTGTTCTATCTTATTAAAGTTGTGTATTTGCCTCACTAACTTTCAGCTTTAAAAAAAAAAGTTGAAATGTAAACACTTAAGACTATAAATTACCTTAGAAATATTGCTTTAACTGTATCCCACACGTTTTGTAAATAGTATTTTCACTGTTCCATACTAATTATCTTTTAATTACAATTATGATATCCCATTTAACTGAGTTAAGTGAGTTTTTAAAAAAGATCTAAAATATGGGTTTGTTTTAATTTCTCTTTCTTTTGTCCTTTTAACTAACTGCTTGTGGAAAGAGAATACGACTTGAACTCTGATAATTGTTTAAACTTGTTTTGTGGCCAGATAGAGGCAATTTTTATGAATACCCTAAATATGCCACTTGTATACTCCTTTTGAAAAAAGTATAAATGGAGCTGGGTTGGATAATATAAAGACCAACAAATTGAGGTACCTTAATTCAACAATGAAATAGGTAGAGAAGGACTGGACACATTGGTAGTTGAAACATGGGATGTGGTGAGGCCGAGAAAATAGAATTGGAAAAGATTGGAGAAAACAGTGTAACACTGAGAAGAAGCTCATTCAGAAAAATGTAGACTTTCTCCCCTGAGCTAGGCTCAACTTCTCTGTTTCCCAGTCTGTAAAAAGTAAATAATATTAGTACCTATCCAATAGAGTTGTTGTGAGAATTAACTAAGTTCATTCAAACATGGTAAGTGCTAAAGAATGTTAGCCATTATTAATAGGATTATTATTAGGATTAACATGACAAACAACATTTTCCCATGATGCCAAAAGTACCGTCTTCAGTAAAAGCCCCTGTTTCCCGCGGCAGAGACCAGGCTTCATCTTTTCCAAGTTACTTTACCACCTTCAAGAGTCAACGCTAAGGGAAGGCATCCTAGGGGCAGTAGCAGAAAGCATGGCCTAACCATACAGATGTTCTTCCATCCATTCCTTCCTTCAAACTTTACCTCTATAGTAAGTAACTCATTAACTAAGTTCCGGCCGCTGGCAAAGCTCTGCCATCGGTTCTCCCGCAGAGATGTGTGCAGAGGGTGTTAGCTACCCCACACAGATGCGCAGGGGTCCCAGGTCTCCAGATCTAGTGTCCGGGAAGACCCAATTCTCTCACACACGGGCAGGAGGACCTCTCACAGAGCGGCTGTCCAGAGGGCCGGGCTCAGTGCAGATGGGCGGACACATCCAGTTCCCGCACAAATGAGCAGAGGAGTCGCGATCTCCTGCGCAGCTGTGTAAGGAAGCGCCATGCTTCCGGCACCGACCGTGTCCGGTTCCCTGGAGACCATACGGACCCTGCTTGGTCTCCACGTTGCCCCTGGGAATCTCGCTCTAAAGAGGGCGGGCTAGGGCTGCCGCCCTCGGCAGCTGGGGCTGAGCGTCCCAGCCCTGCGCGCAGGAGGCTGCGGGAGGAGAGCGCTTACCTTTCGTCGGTTCCCTGCCGCCGGTGTTGCCGCTCGCTACCGGGTCCCGCGGCCGCAAACCGGAGCCCGGGGCCACCCGACAGTGCGCCCCACAAGCTCCCCTTCCCCCCAAAAAACCACCGCCCGCGCCGCGCTTTCAAATCAGCCGGGTCGGTTCATCCGCGCTTCCCATTGGTCAACGCCCGCGTCGCTGATTGGCTGTTTCCTAAGAAACAAAGGACCGGCGCCGCCAGCAGTGCGCGTGCGCACTTCCCGTAACTGCCGGCCGGCGGGTTCGAGGCAGGCTCCGCGGCTGGACGGATTACACCGACCGGCAGTAACCAGCGGGCGTTTGAGATCCGGGGGTGGAGGGTAGATGGGGGGACGTCTCTGTTGTCCCTGGGACTGGATTCATCACCAGTTGCAGCAACGAGACATCAAACCCGTTTTCAAACCTGCTTTTACTGTGAGCATCCGCTTATCCAAGCCACTGTCCAGGGTTTCTTCCCGCCCCTCGACGACCCCAAGAGTGAATTTCGAGAGGAGCCTTGATGTGGAAAAGTTGGCGGAGGCAGAGAATGACGATTCCACCCGCTTGGCCCTGACAGTGGTAGGAGTGTCGCGGACTGATTGTTGAATGAGGGTTGTCCCCTTAGGGCATCGCTGGGTAGCCCCGTCTCCATCCGCCACAGCCACTTGCTGCTTGGATTCTCGTGGGCCAGCCTCATGCTGATACCCATCACCTGAGGTTGTGGGGGTCAAGGAGAGTTTTGCCTGATTCCAATCACTAGTGGCCGAGAGTCAGTTTACTAACCTATAAAATGGAGCCAATAGCATGCCGTTCCTACTGACCTAGAAGACCATGGATGAGACAGTGCTCCAACACCCCTGCCTATGTAAAGGGTTAGCTTTCTATGACTCTGATTAGGCCCTAATCATTAGGGTGACATGGGTGATGGCCGCCAGCAGCCAGTTGCTCACCACTTTCATTAAATTGATCTGAGGCATGCAAGAAAGCAAGAGGCAAAATGCCCTCTGTGGACCTGCCATCAAGATAATAGAGTCACAGCCCTAGCCGGTTTGGCTCAGTGGATAGAGCATCAGCCTGTGCACTGAAGGGTCCCGAGTTGGATTCCCATCAAGCGTGTGCCTCGGTTGCCGGCTTGATCCCTGGCCCTGATGCACTCGGGAGACAACCAATCAATGTGTCTCTCTCACATCCATGTTTTTCTCTTTGTCACTCCCCCTCCCCCAACTCTCTCTAAAAATCAATGGAAAAATATCCCTGGATGAGGATTAATAACAAAAAAAAATTTTTTTTAAAGATAATAGAGTCACAGCCCTGGCCACAAAGCTCAGGTAGTCCAGATATGTCAAGATTATGAGTTCCAGCATAGCTCAGATCGTCCAGATACACCAAGATTGTGAGTTCCATCCCCCCCCTTTCTCTAAAATCAAAAATTTTAAAAAGATACTAGAATCACTATTTATACTTGGTTGATTAGGCCCAAACTCTTCATTAACCTACCTAGACCTCAATTGCCCTCTCTGTATAATGGAATAGCACTGTAGGTTTGGTGAGAAGAAAATGAGAAAACCATGCAAAGGTTATTGTAAAGCTACAAGGAAACCAAGGTGTTCTTGCCATCTCTACTACCCAAGAGAAATGAAACTGTTAAAGAATGGCTTCCAGAGGTTTGGGACTGTGGTGAGGGGCTTGTGGGACTGTGGTTGGGGTCTTTAGGAGCCTCCTGGTCCAGTTCTGGTTTGAACAATTAGTTGGAAAAGGTGAGGTGAGTCAGGGTGAGGCCAGGAGCCGAGACTGATTCTGCTCTCAGAAGGACATGACATGCAAGTTCAGGTATGAAGGAGGAGTGGAGCTAGTTTCGCAAAGGGAGCTGTTCCTTGGCTCTCAGAAGTCAAGGGAAAATAACTTTTCAGGTGAGTCAACTGAGCCCATGATGCTGAGAGGCCTTAGTAGGGCCTGGCCAAGCCTACTTTAATAGACACAAATGGAAAACCCTTGGGCTCTACACCACAGATGCTGATAAGAGGAGATTGATCTGGCACTGGCCCCAAAAGAAGTTCAAGACCTAAAACCCAGACGTGAGGACCAGGTGCAGAATTTTTGCCTTTTATGGTGGCAAAGAGTTTCTGGGCTGATATGAGTGTGTGTGTGTGTGGGGGGGGGGGTGCTGTGAAAAGCAACAGGCTCTATGCTCTTGTGAGCTGTGGATATAATCACTATTTGTAACAGGCAAGACCACTAACCCTGCTAAGGAGACAGAGAGCAGGCACATCCTTTTACCCACACCCTTATCACTGCACACACTTTGCACGTAGGTATGGCATTAGCTGTTTCAGATACAGACTAATTTTAAAAGGTCCTTGAACCAAATCCAAGACATCATTCTTGCCATCCTCAACCGTGAGCCAGACTTTAAGATCTGGCCTCGCACAGAAGCCAAACACTGTGAACATGAAAAAGTGTCCACTCAGTTTGTCAACAAGGAGGTCACAGGTGTCCCCGGCAGAAGCAGTTTCAGAGGCGTGGCCACAGCCAGATCCCAGTAGGAAGTGAGAAGATAGTAACAACTCTTTCAAGTCATCTGGCTGTCAAAGGGAGCAGAGAAAGGAGGTAGTAGCTGGAAGGGGATGTGAGGTTCAGGGAGGATTTTTTGTTAATTCTCACCTGAGGATATTTTTCCATTGATTTTTTTTTTAGTGAGAGTGGAAGGGAGGGGGAGAGACAGAGAGAAACATCAGTTCGAGAGAGGCACATCGATTGATTGCACCTCGACCAGGGCCAGGGATTGAGCTTGCAACTGAGGTACGTGCCCTTGACTGGAATCGAACCCGGGACCCTTCAGTCTGCAGTCCAATGCTCTATCCACTGAGCAAAACCCTCTAGGGCTCAAGGGAGGATTTTTAAGAATAGGAGAGGTTTAAATGCTGATGGGAAGGAGCCGATACAGAGCAAGCAGTTGACGATTAATAGAGAGGTGTGATTAACAATTAAATGAAGTCCCCCAAGAAGGTGAGAGAGTGGTCAACAATCTCACTTTGCCCAGCTGGGTTTACCAGAATGTGGGACTTTCAGTTTAAAAACCTGGACAGTCCTGAGCAAACAAGGATAGATTGGTCACACTGGTGAGAGAGTGTGGATGCAGAGCACAGTGGCAGGCTGGACCCTGGTAGGGGGCACAGCTCCTCCATGGAGGCAAAAAGGAGGAGGAAGGAGGGGCATAGATGCAGGGAGGTTTGTGGATTTTATGGTGGAAGTTGATGGCGTCTCCTTGTAGCTTCTGACTTCTCTGAGAGGTAGGCGATATGATCACCCATTGGACAGTTAACTTCACACTCCATCTGCTGCCTTTGTTGCTGGGCTGAAACATAATAGGTACTCAATAAAATTGGCTGAAGGAATCAATAAATGAGTGAGACTGGGCGTAGATGTTGCAGGTTGGGTACTCTGAGGAGCAGACTCTGAGATCAGTGTGCAGGAAGTTTATTGGAGAATACTCTTAGAATTAACACCTGTGGAAGAGAAGGAAAGGAAGCAGGATTAGGCCTAGCAGGGAGCTGGGAGCTCTGAAGCTGGGAAGATTCTTCCGCCTTGTCCTGAGTTTAAACCCGCATGTTGATCAGTCATTGGAAACAAGCTGCCTGAGAAAGAGGTAGGACGTTGAGCAAGGCAGCTCACATCAGCAGAGACAATCCCTGGATGGGGCTGGTAGCCAAGAGCCATCTGCTGGCGGCACTGCCAGCAGCTGGGAGAATAGATCCTCAGTCCTGGAAGAGACCTGGGCAGTGCCTCACAGCATCCATCACAGGAGGTGGAAGTTTATGGAGAGGGAGAGAAGTTTGCAGTAGCTGCTATTATGGTGGTAGAATGGTTTGTGTGGCAGGCACATGTTAGGTACTGAGTAAGCTGTTGTCCTACTTAGAGGAAGCTCTCATATGGCCTTGGAGACAGGTAGGTAGATGACTGCTGGGGAGTCCAGGAAGGCTTCTTGGAAGAGCAGGCAAGGGACCTGGGCTTGTATAATGAGCAGGTGTTCTGCAGGCTAGGCCTAGCAGAACCATCCCTGGCTCTGGGCAGGTGGGGAGAGGTTTGTAACTCTCCTGGCCTAGGCAGTTGTCCTAGTCCAGACTGGGGCTCTTCACTCAAGGAACAAAGGGGCCTGTGCCGTGGGGCCTGGGAAGAAACCCTTGAATTTGCTCTTCACCATCTGGGAAAAGCCAGGCGCCCCACCCCTGCGCCAGCTGTCCAGGCAGCAGGCATTGTAGGAAGGGGTGCGTCTGGTGATTTAGGGGAGCCTGACTGCTCAGGCTGGGAAGTAGTGAGATTCAACCCTCCCCCTACTCTAGGCAATGGCCAGTCAAGAGGGCTGTTCTCAGAAAGAGTCAGCCATGTGATCTTGGGTAAGTTAATGCACCTCTTTGTATCTCAGTTTTCTTATCCCAAAACATGTGTGTGACAATAGTAACTACCTTGGGGGATCATTGTGAGGCTTAAGTGGAATCGTACACAGTACAAAAGCTACTGTTATAACTTAGCTGTTGATACAGAGATGAGCGTACATGTGGTTCCTCCAGCTCCAGTATTCCCCAAGCCCTGGGACAAGAGAAGAGAAAACCCTCAGCTGCCAGGGTTCTACCACCCACCACATCCCCAGAGGGATCGTTTCAGCAACAGCATGGGGTGTGGGGCTTGAGGGGGCTCCTGTTTTGGATGGATATATGCTTCTTGTCAAACCTTGTCAAACTATAAGCCTCCACTTAGTATAACTTCCTGAGAAATAACCCCTCTTAATGGTCTGGGCAGTCCCCCCTGTCCCTCTAAGAGAAGGTCCTGGATGTATCTGTGTGATCCTTGTGAGCATCTTGAAACTCTGGGTGGTTCCTCATCCATCTCTGGATCCTCCATGCCAAGCTAGAGCCTGGTGTGTTGGATGTGTTCAGTAACACGGAAATGAAAGAGCAAGTAGAAATAGGAACTGATGGGTAGGCCAGGGCCTCAGCGGTATCCCTGTGCTCTCACTCCAAATGGGAGGCCACAGAGCAGAAGGGTGAGGGAGTCCACATCGGAGACCGGACGTGGGGCACTCCATTCTCAGTACTTAGCTCCACATCCTGGGTACCCC